AGATGTTTTCACCACAACCACATGCCGGCATTTATAAAATTTATTTAATTATTAAGTTTGATATTAATTTACACAGCAATAATTTCATACATGTGTATTATCATACATCTCAAATGCTTGGGCCATTACCACCATCAGATCATATGACAACAATGCTATAGATTTCAGAGAATTTTGAATGAATGGGAATGTATTCTATTTTGTTCAAATTGTAGCCAAAATTGTGTCCATTATTTTCTAGCTTCGCTATCAGTATCCTTACTGATCCTAAAAATAACAATATCAGAGGTGAGACCAATAGCGAAATTAAGCAACTACAATCCTGGAACACACTACTGCAGCCATGTTAGAAGCCAGTGTAAAAAAGAGCACACTATATGGAGTTTTGAGGTCAATGTAATTGGTGCCAAAGGTCACAGGTTGATTTACAACAGACTCTCATAACTACTCATGCCAAACATTTTACAATCTATTCTTAAGGCTAGCATAGATTTATTTGAAATTGTACATTACCCAGGACTAAGTTGACCTACAACTAATATAATAACAGTCTATTCTTGAGACTAGTATGGATTTACCTCAATATGTACATTACCCAGGACTAAGTTGACCTACAACTAATATATTAACAGTCTATTCTTGAGACTAGTATGGATTTACCTCAATATGTACATTACCCAGGACTAAGTTGACCTACAACTAATATATTAACAGTCTATTCTTGAGACTAATATAGATTTACCTCAATATGTACATTACCCGGGACTAAGTTGACCTACAACTAATATATTAACAGTCTATTCTTGAGACTAATATAGATTTACCTCAATACGTACATTACTCAGGACTAAGTTGACCTACAACTAAGATATTAACAGTCTATTCTTGAGACTAGTATAAATTTACCTCAATATGTACATTACCCAGGACTAAGTTGACCTACAACTAAGATATTAACAGTCTATTCTTGAGACTAGTATAAATTTACCTCAATATGTACATTACCCAGGACTAAGTTGACTTACAACTAATATATTAACAGTCTATTCTTGAAACTAATATAGATTTACCTCAATACGTACATTACCTCAGGACTAAGTTG